CCACTAACTAAAGCCAGTGATGATGGAACTGAAGAATTCTACCAATTTCTTCAGTCTGAAATTGATTAAACATGTAACCAAAATTTATTGATAATTATTGGTGATTGGAATAAGAAGGATCAGTAGTTGGAAAATATGCTCTTGATGACAGAAATTATGCTGGAGATCACATGATAGAATTTTGCAAGACCAATGACTTCTTCATTGCAAATACCTTTTGTAATTAACATAAAAGGCAATTATATGCTTTGACCTCTCCAGGAATATACAGGAATCAAATTGAGTATGTCTGTGGGAAGAGATGGTGGAAAAGCTCCATATCATCAGCCAAAACAAGCCCAGGAACAGACTGGAACAGAACCATCAACTGATCGTATGCAAGTTCAGGCTGAAGCTGAAGAAAATTAAAACAATTTCACAAGAGCCAAAATATCACCTTGAACATAACCCACATGATTTTCAAGGACAGATTTGATACGTTAAACACTAAAGACCAAAGACCAGAAGAGTTGTGGGTTGACATCAAGAACATCATAGAAGAAAAAAGCAAAAGGTCATTAAAAAGACAGGAAAGAAAGAAGAAACCAAAATGGATGTCAGCAGAGACTCTGAAACTTGCTCTGCAGCATAGAGATGCGGATAGAAGAAGACGTAAAAGAGCTAAACAGAAAAAATTTAAAGGGCAACTTGAGAAGACAAAGTAATGAAATGTGGAAAGGCCTGGAGTTAGAAAACCAAAAGGAAATAACAGTCAGCATATCTCAAGATTAAAGAACTGAGGAAAAATTCCAAGCCTTCACTTGTAATATTGAAGGATTTTAGGGGCAAAATATTGAATGATGCAGAAATCATCAAACAAAGATGGGAGGAATACACACAGTTACTTTATCAAAAAGCAATGGTCGATGCTCAACCATTTCAAGAGGTAGCATATAATCAATAACCAATGATACTGGGAGGAACAAACAAGATGACTAATTGGATAGAAGTGCAGTAAGGAGCTCCATCAGCAACAGCACAGAATACCAGACCAAGCAGGCTCAGGGGATGGTGCCAGAACTCTGAACCACATATAAAGGAATATTCAGAAGGTTGAAAGGCTTACAGCTAGGGGAATTTGTAGCACAAGCAAGAAATCCATTGCTTTCTAACTCAAGACGCTCAGCTGCTCCTGGAGCCGCCATCTTGGAAGAGATCAAGCGGGGGAAGGATCAGAGCAGCCATGGATGCCTGACAGAACCACGGAGATACAGGTGTGGACATTCTTTTTTGTGTGTGTATCTTTTCATTGGTCTCTCACTGCCTGCACATCTCCATTCTGGTGACTAGAGGGGATGCCTGAGCAAGTGGAAAACCCACCCTCACCCCCGGGGGGTTCTACTACGCATGCACACAGATCTCCTTGAAATTTAAAGTTACTGTTAACACATAAAACCAAACGTCAGTGCAAAACAGCCACAGATGGCTGAACTGTTTATCACTAGGAAAAAGGCCTGAACAGGGATTGTGGGGTGGGCCACACAGACTAAAAAGGAAATAGGCC